CTATGAACAGAAGCAGTGGGAAAACGTGCACTCTTCCATCTAGTAGCACAACGAATCAGATAAGTAGAGCTGAGAAACATTCATTTCATGTATTTTCCACAGAAGAGGAAGCAAAATCAAAATGGCTGAAAGCCTTGGGTTTATCAGCTGTACCCGAAACAGCATACGTTTGCTCGCCTTATTTTGCAGACGATTGTCATCATGGAAGATTTCTGGATCAGAAAGGGTACCTGGTAAGAGATTCTGGATCTTAAGAGAAGTCCGGGTTCTTTGGAGGAAGCTCGAAAATGCTAGGACGAAGTTACGACAAAAGACATATATGTACAATCATATGCTGAAGAGTAAAAACAAGATTCGGGAACTGAAACAGAAATGCAGCAAAATGATGGATCCATCTGCTTTGAGGAAAATATTCACTGAATCCCAGCTGAATGTCATCAAGGCTGGGAAATCAAAGGTGTACCAGCTTCTTACCTGCCAGATCCCATAGGGGAATTGAAACATTTAAGCAAACAATTTAAGCTCCTGTCCAGTTCACGACCCAGGAAGTGATTCTTAGAATCAAAGAATCAGTCATGGTCGCCTGATGGAGCCCTCCCCAACATGGCTTAGGGATGGCACGATTTTGAAACAGGAGTTTTTGGCACACCAAGGGAGAGGATATCCGGAGAGGGAAAAACGTGATCAGCGATTCAACATCAGAATTGCAGAAGTACCAATAAATGTCCAAGGAAGCCATTCTTTGCTTCATTCGAACAAGTACCTTTATCAGGATGAAGTATTTGAATAAGGAGAATGTGGCAAGAACCACAAGAAAGCGAGAGCAGTCGCATGCTAAAAAACTGAAGATATTCCTAGCATAGCGTCGAGAGGATGACGCTACAGTTCACTCCAGTCAATCCATCGGGAAAGCCCTTCTTGCGATGACGTCACAACGGTGTGATGTCTAAGCCCCGCCCCCCTCTTTAATGAGGATGACTGTCGGGCAGGGCCTGCAGTCTTCGCGACCGGCCCCTAAACTTTCCTGTCTCGTCTGGAATCTTTTCTTTGGGTGCATCTCAAGTGCGGCTTTTAAAGCTCGAGCCCATATGATTCCTGGCAATCAAAGGGAAACGCCAGCCTGTTGTACGTCAACCTTCTTCTTTTCCTTTTTGGGAAGATTCTTCTCCTGCAAGCTCAATCAGTNCCCACTTTTTTGCCCCCCCCCCCCCCCCCCCCCCGCTCAGCCTACTGGGCCCCATCAGTCTTGACGTGTTCGGGGCGGCGAACCACCACTGCCTTTCTTAAAGTGCTTGGCAAGGAGTGGTTGTCTGGGTGTTTCAATCCTCGGCAGTCGAAGTGTTAAAGATTTGTAAATTTACTATTATGCATAACATCAAAAACTTTATCAAAACTTTTGACATACCACATCTAACGGTATGACTTAGAACACTGCAATATCAGGCTTTTAATATTATACAAAATCTCAATCGACATTAATTTCCAAATAAAAATGCAAGACAGTGCTAAATTTAGTTGTTAAAAAGTTCACAGAAAACGTTACGGATGGGACAATGTTAAGGGAAGGGCAATTTAGCTCTGAAATGTCGCCTTTCAAATGCATGAGCTTCGAAAAAGGCTTCAACTTCTCTCCCCCAATGGGCCAACAATGCGCATCAGCATGGGCATTTGTAATGCAGTGGCAAACATGGTTTTCGTGATGCAATGAAACATGATGCCAATGTCGGTCGCCGAAACCAGTTTGATTGTTCCATCATGCGGAATTTTGAGTACACACACCATGAACGGCTATATCTCATTAGCCCATTGAGTGCCAACCTTGATAATAAATTATTAAAGGAATAACATTCGAATTTCAATGTGCCAAACCTGAGCTGAATAATAGGGATGCCTCCAGGCCCTGCTCGACCGAAGCTCATGAATAATGCGTGCAGTGGACGGGGCTTCCCAATGACGTCACAACGGTGTGTATAAAAGGAAACTTCACGGGTATCCTCCCTCACTCTGACTCCAACTGCCAAGGAAGGATGCTGGTAGCCTTGTGCTTCCATACCTTCAGCGGCTAGTTTGCCTGCACCATAGGCCTATGGAAATACTCGGTCTTGGTTTCTCCTATAGACAGTTTTCTCATACCCTGATACCTGATACCCTCATACTCTTTCTGATCTACTACACTCTTATTTGCTTGGTTTCCGCTTTACTATGAACAGAAGCAGTGGGAAAACCTGCATTCTTCCATCTAGTAGCACAACGAATCAGATAAGTAGAGCTGAGAAACATTTATCAGCTGTACCCGAAACAGCATACGTTTGCTCGCCTCATTTTGCAGACGATTGTCATCATGGAAGATTTCTGGATCAGAAAGGGTACCTGGTAAGAAATTCTGGATCTGAAGAGAAGTCCGGGTTCTTTGGAGGAAGCTCGAAAATGCTAGGACGAAGTTACGACAAAAGACATATATGTACAATCATATGCTGAAGAGTAAAAAACAAGATGATTCGGGAACTGAAACAGAAATGCAGCAAAATGATGGATCCATCTGCTTTCATGGAAATATTCACTGAATCCCAGCTGAATGCCATCAAGGCTGGGAAATCAAAGGTGTACCAGCTTCTTACCTGCCAGATCCCATAGGGGAATTGAAACAAGAGGATCAAGCGTTCAAGTTCGTGGTAGGTTATGTAGCATTCTGCTTTGAAGAAAATATTCACTGAATCCCAGCTGAATGTCATCAAGGCTGGGAAATCAAAGGTGTACCAGCTTCTTACCTGCCAGATCCCATAGGGGAATTGAAACATTTAAGCAAACAATTTAAGTTCCTGTCTAGTTCACGACCCAGGAAGTGATTCTTAGAATCAAAGAATCAGTCACGGTCGCCTGATGGAGCCCTCCCCAACATGGCTTAGGGATGGCACGATTTTGAAAAAGGAGTTTTTGGCACACCAAGGGGATGATATCCGGAGAGGGAAAAACGTGATCAGCGATTCAATATCAGAATTGCAGAAGTACCAATGAATGTCCAAGGAAGCCATTCTTTGCTTCATTCGAACAAGGACCTTTATCAGGATGAAGTATTTGAATAAGGAGAATGTGGCAAGAACCACAAGAAAGCGAGAGCAGTCGCATGCTAAAAAACTGAAGATATTCCTAGCATAGCGTCGAGAGGATGACGCTACCGCAACTACAGTTCACTCCAGTCAATCCATCGGGAAAGCCCTTCTGGCGATGACGTCACAACGGTGTGATGTCTAAGCCCCGCCCCCCTCTTTAATGAGGATGTCTGTCGGGCAGGGCCTGGCAGTCTCTCGATTCTCTCTCGATCCATCATTTTGACTCAATGGTTTGCCGATCGAAGGATTTCTGATTTTGGACATTCAGATGCCCACTGTGGTGTTGCGGAATAACATTCATAATAAAGAATAGCATCGACACGGAACTGCTTCGACACCTGCGAACGACGGAATGACTTCGACAGGAACAACTTTGACAAAGAAGTATTTCGACACGAGAAAATCTTGTCGAGGTAATTCCGTGTCGGCGATGTTACCTTTGATGTTGTTCCGTGTCGGTTTAAATTCGAAAGTCATCTGTCGAAGCAGATCTGATTCGGTCTATTTCTGTCGACATATTCCCGTGTTGATGCCATTCTGTGCCGTAGCATTTCTTGTCGAACTGCTTCTGTGTCAATTATATTTCTATAAGGAATGGCAGTGGTTCAAAATGCGCTGAAAAGATGTTTCACGAAGCCACTTTCAATTGAACGTTAGAAATCTAAGGTTTACCTTTAAGGATTAAGGAGGGGAGCTAATCCTGATCCTTTCCACTTCCACACCTGACCGGCAATCAGGAGGCCCGGGTTCAAGTCCCGGCCGTCCCCTGACTTTCTTTCTGCCTCTCATGCCTTCCGTCGTCCCTTCACTTCTTCACCCGTAACAGTATTTTCATCATTTAGTGTCCAAATTCCGTTTCCACCATTTCATAACATTATTCCTCGTTTCTTTTCCTTTGTTCGCGCCGTTTCGCGTTTTTGTTGAGCATATCTCTCCTGATGATTTGATAACACCTTCTTGCATTCGGAGACACTTGAAGGACAGATCATGTGATCTCCGAACCCCCTCCGCCCCCCCAAACCTCAAGGCTGGTTGCCCCACTGGCACGAAGGGGTGCCTATTGTCCAATATATCTACAAACGGATTAATAGAGTGGTTAAAGGGATCCAGTAAATCCAGCTTCCAGAAGGGGTTTGACTATGATGCAGAGCAAACCAACTACTTCTGTGACACTACTCACTTACACTATTCCAGCGCATTTTGTCAGCACCTACACCACCCTCAACTTTACCCAGATCATAACCTCAACGCTACACACATGCCCACCTCTCGAGGGCTTGAGCGTTCTGAAATGGGATTGCACGTGAACCCTTTTTCATCCTATCCCAGGCCTGAATCTCCTGACTTCCCCTTATAAAATGTCAGCAATCACTCTTCAGAATGTGTATTCGAATCTCGAGGTCTCTTCTGTCACGTTGAGGAAATAACAGCCCACCCTACCGCCACCAGGGTCTGCAACACTCTTATGTGACATATGCGCGACTCGTGGTAGAGATTCTGCACTCATCCCTTGCGGCCACACGATGTCGGCTATGCTTGCTTCAGTCATAATTCCGCAAGACGGTAAATGTACACAGTGTAGACAAGTTATTGGTGATTTTTTCGTAATTTTTTCTTAAGGAATCAGGCCGTTCTCTCTCCCTCTCTCTCTCTATCAATCAATTAATTGAACTTGTTTCCATGCTTTAATAACTATTCCATTGTGCCCCCCCTCCAAAAAAAAAAAATTCTTGATTTTGAATTTTGTGCAGTCGACTGTGCATTTGCAAAATCCTTTCACACATTCTGCTAATGATAGAATGGAATATTGCTAGTTACTTGGCCCTCACATATTTTGCCTACAATATGCGCGACATCGACTTGACGTTATCGCCACCACCACCTTCCCCTATGCTAGTTTGTCGGTATTATTCTATGTCGGCGTAGTTCCTGTCTTGAATATTTCTTTCCTATGCGAATCGGGATATGCTCCTGTCGAAGTAATTCCGTGTCGATGTACTTCTGTCGGTTTTATTCCGAGTAGCAATTTTGTCTAGCTTATTCCGTTTCGATGCATTTCCAGTTGATGCTGTTCTGTGTCGACCTATTTTCTGTCGATGTTATTGTGTCATTTCTTTTCTGTGTCGGCGCTATTCCGTTTTGGCACTATTCTTTTCGGCGTTATTCCTATCCACCCACTGCAGGACTTTTGCGGGAAATCGGGTTGAAAGCGATTTTTTTAGCTGGACAATTTTCTCATTAAGCGATATGCATAGTGTTACCTTGATATGAATAAGTGTTCCTTTTGCATAACAGGAGCCGACATGGAATGACACGGCCAAAATAATTGCAGAGGAGACGGTTAATAAGGAAGAGATCTTCGACCGGAACACCGGCAAAATCAATTGTCTCTCACAGGAGACATGGGACGCCCTCAACGAAGTTTTACCTTTGCCGAAGTACTCTTCCCCCTTCAGGGATTGGGGATACGCATGGGGTGGTAAGTGGATTGCACCGATGAGCCTTCATGTTTCTATTAATGATCATCAGCTTTTCTTTCATTTTCTGTTTCTGTATTGAGTTGTTGTTTCTTAATTTTTTCTTTGCCGGGCGACCCAACATGGTCGAAAAATTGCATTTGAACTGATTGGGATAGTGTTCATTGTATTCATTCTGCGCAATATATGTATATGTATATATATATATTTTTTTTTTTTGGGGGGGGGGGCTGGGAAGGTACTTCATTTGTATGTGGATCTCTTACATGGGCACAAACATTAAAGAACGTTCCCAGACGAAGCATCGTAACATGTGCAAATTGCCTCTCCATGATTACTTTTTTAGAAATATTTTAAAAGAATTATTATTGCTTCAGTACATGAGCCATATATAGAAAGCTTAAAATTCGCCTTAAATAATAATAAATTCCATTCATGAGGAGAATGGCCGTGCGTGGTCAGAAATCCGTCACTCATTTTGTTCAGTGAGCAGGCAAGCTCTCAAGAGGATTGTTGGGGAATGCAACATAGACAGTCTAGGCATAGGTGGACTAGGCAGTGAGCGACCAGGACATGGTATAATAGTAATTATTGAATGATAGTTAAAACAAAGAAAATCAAACAAAACTATTTAGCTTGAAGAGGAGTAGGTCTATCATAAAATTAGTGAACGCTTTTCCTCGACACGTGGTATCATATTGGGTGCTGTCCCTTCCTGATGCCACTACCAATATCTTGAACCTTGAACCTTGGATGTCAGAGCATCAGGTGAAAAAGCTTGTTCAGTACGATCTGAAATGCGTTCTACCCGTTATCATCTCTCTTTTCAGAGTGGGCAGGGGAAGTGCCACGAGCCTCGGCGCAAAATTCTATACAAGAGACCAATGAAATCACCAAGTTTCTGGAAGAGAAAGGGGTGAAGTGGAAACCAAAAAAGTGGCCTCCGGTGCCCTTGAATACCCAAAGTAGTGGGGTGGGCTTATTGGAATCTCTCTCTCTCGTTCTCACTGGATCACTCCTTCATCTTTCACTCCTCCAGGTTTGCCATTGTATTTTTATTCCTTCTCCCATCAGGTTCCTTCTGCATTGAAGAACTGGGAATGAGGATGTCATATGAAGATGAGAAAAGAGAAGAAAACCTTTTTCATAGCAAATCGATTGTTGCAATGATGCTTGAAAAAGACACGCAACAAATTCATAGCATGTCCATCTGCGTGATGAAGGAAAGCATTTCCTTCATGCTTTTGTCGTTCCTAATATTATTATTTACTTGAAATTGGGTTGGGTGAGCGGGGTAATTCTCCAGCAGGGTACACCAGTCATGAATGGAAAAACTGTTGGGTATACAAGGTATAGAATGAGGGGTTATTGGTTGGTGTAAAAGTTGCAATCAGAAAGCGCGAGTTGCGTGTCTCTTCTGGTCGTTCCACGAATGTTAGGAATCTAGTACCTGCGTCATTTCGAGTCATATCAGCATAGCAATAAACTTGACCCCTTCCCTTTCCAATGACATTTAGTGAACGTCTACTACCTATTGAAATCCAAAATGGTTAATTTCGAAGTCAAGTACTTCCTAAGGAGCAGGGATTTGAAAAGTACAAAGTATGACTTATTTTGGGTCAAGTAATAATTACTAAATCCCTGAAGAATTACGTTCCGGGAACTTAGCAATAATTGATTTCAGTCTCTTTTGACTATCTTTCCAAATATAAGGGGTACCGGAAAGTAATGTTTTTTTTTTGCAACCCACATGGAAGCTTAATTTTTGGCGTGTCTTCCTTTGCTTTTAAATGAATTTCATTTACAAGCCTTCTTTGCCGTACATATTTCGATCACAAAACTTTTTACAGAATTGTCAGCAATAATGTCTTGCCACATTCCTGACGAGATCCATATAAGACATTGTATGCTATATGAGTTTCGTAAAGGAAGTAAGGCAACGGAGGCCACCAAGAACATCTGTGGTGTTTATGGAGATGTATTGGATGTCCGCAAATGCCAGCGTTGGTTCAGAAAATTCCGGTCAGGCGATCTTGACTCTTCGGATGACCATCGTTCGGGACGATCGGTGAAGCTGGAGAACAATCTCCAGAGGTCAGAGATTGAGTCAAACTTCCGTCAAACTATCCAAAAAATAGCAGAAAAACTCAATATTTGTGGTCCAGTGTTGAAGAACACCTTCAACAGATCGGGAAGGTTCATAGACAAGGCGTTTGGGTTCCCCATCAACTCTCAGCTGAAAACAAAGCCAAGCGCACAACAATTTGCAGTTCATTGATGACGAGACAATAGAGAGAACTATTTCTTCATCGAATTGTTACTGGAGATGAGAAATGAGTTCTTTATGTCAACACCAAGCGGAAGAACCAATGGCTATCCCATGTCCAGCAGTCGCTTCCGACAGCAAAACCAGGCCTACACCTACAGAAAGTCCTTTTGAGCGTTTGGTGGGACAGTGTCGGTATGATACACTTTGAGGTATTGGAGACAGGTCAGACCATTACTGCAGACCTCTATTGCCAAAAATTGGACCGTTTGCACCAGGCTCTGATTGAGAAACGTCCAGCACTGGTCAACAGATAAGGGGCAATTCTGCAGCACGACAACCACATTTTGCAATAATGACCCAACAGAAGTTTCTTAGTGACAAGACTTTCAGAAATATTTATGTTATCAAAACTGCTCTCTCGGAATTCTTTGCCTCGAAATAAACCTTCTATAAACAGGGAATTGAACATTTGATTTTAAAAAAGATGGGGAACTGTCCTTGATGATGATGGGGATTACGTAATTGATTGAAATCTGAAAAAAAAACTTCTTGTAAAAACAAGTGTTTGTGATTAATTGAAAAAACGACATTACTTTTCGGTTCCCGTGATATATGGGAAGCATGCAATTTCATTAGTAAAAAGTATGAGGATCTGAGTATATGAGATTTGATCTAGATTCCGAAAATTTTAATTTAATATCTTTACTTACTACATCATACTCAAATTTCCGTACATGAGTTCATCCCCCTTTAAAAAAAAATATTTTGTGACTTGAAATGAATCTGGAGTTGCAAGTGAAAATATTATGGTAAGTACATGTGAATCATAAAATAATCGTCTAAATGCAAAAAAGTTGGGACACCACTAAATGTCGAATCCGAGTTCGCCGAGTCTTGATTTCCGTAATTACATATATGTAGAATGCTTGAAATGCCTAAGAGCCGAAATAACGGAACACAAAATAAAGAATTCTAATTATGCCAATGAGACATTTTATTTCCCTGTCTATAATGGTAAGTAGTAATCTACTTTCCAAGAAAATAGTAATCTCATGTCAAACTATGAATTAAAAGGGATGCAAGTGGAGGGAGATCAAGGAAACTAATGATCACATCACAAATTCAGAGTCGCACATTGTTACCATTGGTGTATTCACGGTTCGGCGAACTGAGGCATTTGGCATTGATGATGTTTAGCATTTTTTCCTTCGCTATTCTGCGCATTCGTTATTTCCTGCTTTCGGCATCATTCTTTTCGGCATTTCGTTACAGACTCGCAAAAGATATACACCATGACATATTATTGTTACACAAGTATCATGAAAGTTGCGCAAAAACTATACCATCTTGAAAATTGTAGTGATCTTTTCTAACCGCACCTATAAGCAATTTCAAAACTTCCTTGAACTTCCTGGTCGGAAAACTTTCTTGAACACCGCTTAAAGTTCAAATTTCTACTAATGAAGTGTTTATGCATACAATTTCACTCAAGTTGAATTAATGCATGATTCCTTTTACCATCTCTTGCATTTTTTTCGCAGTTATCGGCTGATCCCACGATATTTTTACTTTGAGATTTGTTTCATTTGGAGAAGGAAAGTAGAAACATGTCTCTCATATTTTGAAAGAAGTAAAATATAATTCTGGAGTTTCCATGGTTGAGATCTCCATTGGAGAATTTGAGGATTCAGACTTTTCATATTTTTATTCACTTGTTCAGAATATTCTCGGGGGTGAGAACCATCGTCCCCTCTTTGAACTAATCCAAGAAGGAGCAGAAATCTTCAAGAGGGTCATTGTCCTCATGGGAAAAAAGTTATCTAGTGAGTTTGCCATACTATTGAATTTTCTGTCTTCATCTAAATAAAGTCATTTCTTTAGAAGGTGAATTGGAGTTAGCACTCGCAGCTTTTCTTTTGAGCACACGAACAATGTTTGGAACTGGCCCATGAAGCCCATCAACATCTATATTAGCAGCGGTGCTGTAATCACTACTTCCCCCATCATATTGCTCCCGAATTAAGAGTTCTATTAGGTTGTAACCGCCAGCGAATGAAATTTGAGAATGTAGCTGTCCTCTCACTAAAAAACTTACTTCTCACACAATTCCTTAAATTATTTTTTCAAGGGACCTTCTTCCCTAAAGGAGAAAGGGACGAAAATCAGGACCTGCATGCCATCCTGCTATTTGCTCTGTTCGAGTCTCATGAAGACTCAGCCTCAGACTTGGAGTCAAAGACAGTGTCAGACTTAGGGAATGATGGCCCAGTGAACATCTTCCCCGTAGTTCCTCAATGCAGTGAGTCATGAATTTCATACTTCCTTTATTATGTATTCTGGACTACAAATTCATTACACATGAGCATAAAACTTTATTCTGCTAATACGGAGCAGTTCTCCCGGGGTCAAACTCATTAGCTGAAAGTTTTGGAAGGAGCAGCTGCTCCCCAGCAATATATTATAATAGAAAAATATTAATTAATGCAATTACACAATCTGACTCGTGAAATGCAATAAAAAAGGACAATAATTTCCCTCAAGTAATTAGTGGCTGCAACTCGTTCACTTTCATTGAAGAATGAACTGAAATTTGAAGAGGAATCGCATGACTTTGAAAGTGGAATTTACAATTTCACTTATTCCGCATGCAAATGCAATGAATTTTCTTACATATGAGAGCCACTAGCCCTGTAATTACGCATGCTGTTTTAGAAAAAATGCAATGAAACTATCAAGGGAACCGTGTGTAATTTTAAGAACTTTGATCAACAATGCATACGAGAAAATATCACGGATTCAAGGAAGTCACGTTGGGTGGTTCCATTTCAAATCTTGCAGGTCTAAAGTTTCTGCACCAGGTCTTCGATTTTTTTCAATTAAAAAATATGTGGTTTTTCCATCCAAGCAATGAAATAAGAAACTTTTTATGTGCAAAATATATATATTTTTACCTTTGTATCTGCAATGGTTTCAGAGAAAAAATGTCATTAGTGGCTCTAAATAGGGCGACAGTCCAAATCCCCATTTTTCCCCACTTTCAATATACTTGATCTCCGAAACTTACGTTCACAGATTCCTAAACAATAATATTTGTTTTACATACTTCAGAGTACGTACTTTGTACACATATGGAAGTGAGCCCAATTCCAGCCTCATAAATATGTATTATTTGTCAAAATCAGCAAGTATCTTACATTCTGTCAATTTTTTAAGCGTGGTCGATCTCCGAAGGTCGTGTCGCCAGATTCGAAGCGTTTGAACCATCGAGACACCGTGGGATCAGCCGATAACTGCGAAAAAAATGCAAGAGATGGTAAAAGGAATCATGCATTAATTCAACTTGAGTGAAATTGTATGCATAAACACTTCATTAGNGCCCTTGAATGCAGCGCAGATGTTGTCCGCGGCGGCTCTCGCAGAGTGTCCTTGGAGGAACTCGTAGTAGACGATGGGGCGAAGAGTTGCTTGTTCGATCGGAGCCGTAGCTGCCAACTAATGGCAGAAGCCGCCTTATATACCCCGAGGGCAGAACCTTTGAGAACATTGCAGCACATACAAATGCAAATCCCCGCCCTTTGAAAATTTGTAGTAATACTTTTAGAAAGTGTTGCAAGACTTTCTTTCCAACCCAATACTTCGGTGCTTTTTCACGGGCTCCCTATTAGTGGTCACAAAAGCATGATCAATTTTTAGCCGTTGGTGAGCGGCGTGCCAAAAATGTAACTACCATGTGGTGATGAGTTTGATTATGTGTTGTTCTCATCCTACACCGCCGTAATGACCAAATTGGGTAGCATAGAAAAAAGGTTTTTCTAGGTTTTCATACGATGAAGATGATTTGCCTGTTTGGCCTAGTCAACAAGGATGAGGAAAAAGAGACAAACAAAACTGGGGGAAAATTAGGAAGTACCACAAACATAACACCTGGAGCACCAGGAAATAACAGATTCGAACTTCCCTAAGCTTGTCTAGGTCCTGTGCATTTGGGGACGAAGCTTTACGAACTATCTTCAAACCTACAGAATACTCATATTTAGCACAACCCCAATTCTAAACCAAACGGTAAGGTGCCTTCCCATTTTGATAGATGAATTGATTCCATATGCAAATACATTTGTAGAAAACAAGGAAAAACCAATGACAAAAAATGAATGTATTCGACTCTTTTCCCTTCTTAGGAGTTATTCTCCAAATCTTTCCTTCCAAATCTTTCTTCTACTGTATTCTCAGGAAGTGGAGAAATATGGATGGCTGCAGAGAAGCTCCCTCCATTATTTGAAGGGAAGCGACCTCCCTTAAGCAAAATTTTATTTCGAGGGAAGATGAAAGTGACATGGCAGAGGCACACGATTACTATTTTATGCTCAATGGACAGAATGTTGGCAGGATTACCACCACTCACCTCAGGTAAGAAGCAAATCATGGTGTCTTTACTTGACTTCCAGCCTGCAGTGTCCACATCCCAAGTAGCGCACCCACAGTGAATCAACGTTGACTCAAAGTTACGAAGTCAACACAGCTTACAAGAAACTATGTTGTCTTCTCAACATTGATTCTATATTGAAAGTTCATTTTGATCAACAATTGAATCTATGTTCACAGTAACAGTATATCAACATTAATTCAATGTTCAACAGCAACATTCCAACTTTGATTCAGCATGGTGTCGAATCCTGCTCCAAGTATGGGAGCAAAAATGCCATTCTGCTTGCTTGATGCGATGAAATTCGAGCTAAGTGTCTTTCAGTCACTGTCCTATTTACACTGAATCGAAAGTTCCTCTTAAACGAAATATTTCCTGGTAAATCCGCTGAAGCAATAGCAAACACTGATGAAGTAAGCATTAAAAAAGAGTATTTACTGCAGATACTTCGGCCGTGATGAGTGGAACATTGAATGGATGCTGACCCAATGTGAGTGTATATACAGTGACGGTCAACACATTTAATCAATTGTGATGTAACATGGTTATAACCGTCAACAGTGATACATCCAATCCACACATTGTAAACATTGATTGAGTGCCTCGTTCCAACCACGTTCCTGGCCAGATCGGGAGGAAACAAATAGAAATGGTCATATTTTGAAACGACATGCTAGCCCAAAATGCTATCAGGCGATCCGCTGACCCTCGAACTTCGCATATATAACTCGGTGGTGGCCCACCGAGTTTTTGTTACGTAAGCACACGTTCGCCTTCGTTCATTAGTAAGGTACATCCCTCGATTTTAACACGTCTTCAAGTCAATAGATCAATTGAATCTCGGAAGGTAGAGTCTTTCAACGGCAGCATCGGGTGGTGGGTGTGATGTATGGTCAGGAGATTTCTGGTCGTTCGATCTTTGGCTTGGAGTTCCGTAGGTGACCAATTGATAGCTCCGAAGCTGTAGTTAAGGACAGGGATGGCAAGGCTGTTGAGGGCAGAGATCTTGTTTTTTTGCCGGACTGCTCGGTCTTTAGTACGAGGCAGACTCTACGTTTGTTTTCTGTCGTCAGTCTTTGCTTCGTGCGCTTGACAGCCACGGAAGAGTTCTCTTCCGCATAGAGGTACTTATAGGTGTCAGGGGCCGTAAGCACTCGGAGTTGTTCGTCGTTGGTGGTGGTGAGGACTCCGCGGTGGCAGAATAAGAAATGTTGAAGGAGGTCCCACAGAACGGCGATGAGGCAGTTGTTGCTGGTAAAAGACGGTTGGTACAGGCCCGGAAACAACGTTTGCCACTGCAGTTGCGGTGCGAAGTGCTTAAATCGGTGCTAGCCGTAATGGCTAGAATGAGTGATTAACAGCACGCAACTGTACGTTGGGAGCGTAGGGCCACTCAGTCAGCTGAACAGCAAGAGGCAGCGAATGCTAAGCTCCGGAAGAGGAGAGCCGTGCAGCCTGCTCAGCAAGTTGATGCAAGGAACGCAGCATTCAGGTGTCGAAAGCTGGGGGGGGGGGGGGGGACCGGGAATTGAACCCGGACCTCCTGCTTGCCGGTCAGATGTGCTACCATTACACCACGGAGCTCAGGATTTTATGCCTCTCCATCACTACAGTAGTTTGGCGCAGCGAGCACTGACAGGCGGTCCGTTTTGATGTAGGGAGGGGGCATTTGTTTCACTATGCTGGCGCAACGGAAAAATAAATGCTCCTGCTGCAACTCACACTTTACCCTGAGGCTCTGAAAGTGTTCCTCACTGGTGCTAATGTGGCGGCGAGGCATTTTCAGGAATTAGTCGATAGCATTGTGCCGCACATGCACTAACTTCCCCCCTGTGGCGTCGTACGAGTTCTTGGAAGTGGTCCGTACTATTTCATTGATGTCTGTACCATACGCTAACGCTAATAGCCGATGAGATAATCGGTGATGCAAGAGCGTTGAATGTACTAGGAAGACGGAATCAGCAATGTCGTCTTGAGTCTCATGAAAACGTGCTAAACCGAGGCGTTCACAATGGCGATTCTGGCAATCAGCTCGAGTATCATGATGATGGTGTTTAGGAACAGAATCTCCATGTGTACTGTAAGATAAATGTGTGATAATGTAATGAAGCGGTGCAGTTCCGAATGGGTAATGCGATGAACAGAGGATTGTCAAGGAGACGTTATGCTAACAATAGACAAATCAATTTTTCACCTATTAGACGGGCAGCGTAGCGGCCGCAGGCCGCTAGTAAGTATATATATATATATATATAATAAGATGGACAATCACTGATAGAAGGGCTAGCCCTTGAACAGCCATGGCTCAGCACCCACGCGAGTACCTCGACAGGAAAATCGAGACTAATGTGAAAAGCCAGGCAGAAAAGGGGGTCCAGGCGGAAGAAGGCTATAAAGGAAAAGAAAGCGAAGCTCTAGGCTAGATTTTTGACGCTTTTCGACCGGCTTCGTCAGGGGGTGCACGGCCGGCCTAGAGCATCAACAGCTGTTATAACCTGTTTCTGCGGTCATCCTAGCGTGCCAGGAGTATTAGATAGAACTTGGAAGTACTACCCATTCCAAGGACAAACCCAGCTGAAGTCCCTCTGCACATGCCATCGTCTGTTAATGATTAGCTCAAAAAGTCTCGCGACAAAGCTACTGGAACTACGCTATAGGCCAAGCAGCCCACAGACGACGTTCAGCATGTACAGAG